TGGAGATTGCATTGAATCTGTAGAACGCTTTGGATAGTATAGACATTTTCACAATGTTAATGATTCCAATCCAAGAGCATGGAATGTCTTTCCATCATTTTGTGTCTTTAATTTCTTTCAGTAGTATTTGTAGTTCTTATTGTAGAGATCTTTCACCTCCATCGTGAAATGGATTCCTAGGTATTTTATTTTGTGTGTGTGACTGTTGTAAATGGACTTACTTTCTTTATTTCTCCTTCTGTTAGCTCATTATTGGAGAATATAAATGCAACTGATTTGGGGGCATTTATTTTGTATCCTGCAATGTTTCTGAAATTATTAACGAGGTGTAGGAGTTTTTTGATAGAGTCTGCAGGTTTTTCTATATGTAGTATCATGTCATTGGCAAATAGGGACAGTTTCACTTCATCTTTTCCAGTCTGGATGCCATTTTTTTCTTTCTCTTGCCTGACTGCTCTGGCTAGTACCTTCAGTACTATACTAAATAGAAATGGTGAAAGTGGGCATCCTTGTCTGTTTCCTGTTCTTAACAGAAAAGCCTTCAGTTTTTCCCCACTTAGAATGATACTGGTGGTAGGCTTGTCATAAATGGCTTTAATTGTGTTGAGATACTTTGCTTCTATACGTAATTTGTTGAGAGTCTTTATCATGAAAGGATGTTGAATTTTGTCAAATGTTTTTTCAGCATATATTGAGATAATTATATGGTTTTTGTCATTGAGTTTATTGATGTGATGTATCACATTAATTGATTTTCATATGTTGAACCATCCTTGCACACCTGGGATGAATCCCACTTGGTCATGATGTATAATTTTTTTGATGTGTTGCTGTATTCTGATTACTGATATTTTGTTGAGGATTTTTGCATCTATGTTCATCTATATTGGCCTGTAATTTCCTTTTTTGTTGTTTATTTATCTGGTTTTGGTATCAGAGTTATGTTGGCCACATAGAATGGGTTTGGGAGAATGGCTTCTGTTTCAATTTTTTGGAATAGTTTGAGGATAATTGGCATTAATTCCTCTTTAAAGGTTAGTTAGAATTCAGCTGTAAAGCCATCTGGACCTGGGCTTTTCTTTGTTGGAAGATTGCTGATTACTGTTTCAATCTCATTGCTTGTTATTGGTCTATTCAGGTTTTATACCTCTTCTTGGTTCAGTCTGGGTAGCTTCTATGTGTACAGAAACTTATCCATATCTTCCAGCTTTTCATATTTGTTGTCATGCAGTTGTTTATAAATAGTCTCTAATGATACTTCATATTTCTGTGGTATCAGTTGCAATGTCTCCTTTTTCATTTCTGATTTTTGTTATTTGGGTCTTCTCTCTTTTTGTTGTTGTTGTTGTTGTTAACCAAGCTAATGGTTTTTCTATTTTATTTATCTTCTCAAAAAATCAATTTTTTGCTTTGTTGATCTTTTCTATCAATTTAGGTCTCTATTTCATTTAGTTCTGCTCTGATCTTAATTATTTCTTTCTGTCTACTACCTTTAGGATTGAATTGTTGTTGTTTTTCAAGTTCTTTGAGGCATAGTGTTAGGTCATTTATTTGAAGTCTTCCCATTCTTTTGATGCAAACATTTATTGCAATAAATTTGCCTCTTAGTACTGCCTTTTCTGTATCCCACAGGTTTGGGTATGATGTGTCTTTATTTTCATTAGTTTCAAGAAACTTTTTGATTTTTCTTGTTTAATTTCTTCCTGGACCCATAGGTCATTTAGGAGCCTACTGTTTAGTTTCCATGTATTTGTATAGTTTCCAGCATTTTGCTTGTTATTGATTTCCAGTTTTAGTCCATTGTGGTCTGAAAAGATACTTGGAATGATTTCAATTTTTTAAAATTTGCTGTGACTAGACTTATGACTTAATATGTGGTCTATCATGGAGAATGTTCCATGTGCTGATGAGAAGAAAGCATATGTTTTGGTTGTTGGGTGAAATTTTCTGTATATATCTGCCAGGTCCAGTTGGTCTAACGTGTAGTTTAAATTCTGTGTCTCTTTGTTGATTTGTTGCCTGGAAAATCTGTCCCATACTGAGAGGGGGGTATTCAGGTCACCCACTATTAATGTATTAGGGCCTATTTCTTTCTATAGGTCTTAGATTTAGGGAACATGGAAATTGAAAGATTTACTTAGCTACATGTTTTATATTCACATTAGCTACACAGTTAAATCATGGTATAATTTTAGATGGTACAATGCTGAACTTTGTCCTGGTCGAGATTTGTGCTATTAATGTTTATGGTGCTTAAAAATCCCAGGTACCATCCATGCATTTATATCAAGATAAAGACACCCCTTTCCAGCTTCTATCTCAGATATTTCAGAGTGCTGGGCAGAAGTGTTACCAGTAAAGTAAGGCCACCCTCTTTATAACACAATAGACATTTATGAAACCATTTGGGGAATATCTAACCATCCAAGCATTTTCCACATCTGGTTTATGTGAATTCCATGTCTGAGTAAATGTACATGCATTTTTTAAAGGTTCTCTTTAACTGTGTGCAAAGTAAATGAAGTAGTCACTACTGACAACCACCTTAAGACCCTAACAGACATGGGGGCCATATTGGTATGTTCACCCAGAATATGGGAGCGTAAGAAAAATATGAACATTTCTCCACTAGAGCAAGATAGTGAAAAATGTACAATTTTCCTAGATATGAGTTTTACAATCAGGCATTAAGTACTTTCATTACAATGACTTTCAAATGAGTTTTGTGGGGGTGAGAACAAATTGCCTCTTGCTCATGAAAAGGAATGTTCCTCCAGTCCAAGGAGTACTGTGCAGACACTCATGACCTGAGTGCACCTGGAAAACTCCATCTTAAATTATAAATCTAAGCTTATTTTGTGCAGTAATTTCAAAAGATGCTTTCAGGAAAGGAAAATATGAGAAGAGTAGATGAAATAGTAAGAAGAGCAGAAAGGTCTGCCAGGACACATGAGGTTCATTATAACACTCTTTGTAAATGTTTAGTACTGGTACAATACAAAATTTCCGAAAGGATTACATTTCCTGAGTTTAGGTCAGGCAGCCCTGAGCTGAATCAGAGAAGTGGACAGCCACACTGTGTTTGAGATGCTCTGAGACGTTTCCTGGGGGAATTCATAAGGCTGATAAACAAAAGCTCTGTCTTTTCTTTTGAGGCCTTGAGAAGGGAAGTTAGAAGCCGACTGTTGGCTAATGATGCGGCTGGGAGAGTGTGGCTTTCTCGGTGACCAGCTCTGTTCCCTTATCCTTCCTCCACTACTGATATGCTTGTGAAGCCCCCTGGCCACGGGAAGCTTCCTTTCCCAAACTCCAGCCCCTCTCTTCTTCTCCCTGAGTACCTTTGTCACCTCCCAGGACTTTAAAGCCTGGAGCAGTCAGCCAGGAGAGTCTACAAGAGCCTGCAAAATCTAGTGGTAAGCACGAATTTACTCACTTCTCACCTGGGCTGTTGTTTTATGTGAACTCCAATCTGGGCATGACAAATAGGAGAACTGAATCCATCAGTGGACTTTACGTCCTGGAGAAATACTTACTTCTTTCCACTAGATGCTTCCTCTGCGGTGTTACATGGCAAAGGGCAACACGCTCTTTGATGTTTTATAGAGCGGACCTGGTTTACTTTACTCAGACTGCTCAGAGTGTAAGACCGCCTCTCTAAGCAGCTTGCAAATTCCCATGATACGGCCAAATTTATGCCTTCCCTCAAAAGTGATACTAAAAGGTAAGTGCAAAATCTAGGTGCTATTCTCTGATGTGCTGATAAGGTGTAAAATAACAAATGACCTGTCACCGATACCAGCACAGCCCGTGACACATGGCAAATGTCCCATTGATATCTGAGTGTTTACACACTACTTACTGGTGTACTAATTCTCTTTCATCTTAAGACAGAAAATGAAACCCTATTATTATAGAAAATGAATTTGCCCTGAGCAAGGAAGGGCTTTTTAAAATGAGAGCTGTATAAAAATTAAACAATTTGGGAGAGTGTGATTTTTTTTTTTTTTCTGTCACTGGAGATTTTCAAGAGGTCTGGATGACCCCCATGATAGGGAAATGACAGGTGTAGGGCAGGTGCCTGTGACTCCTTTTAAAATGAGAGCTGTATAAAAATTAAACAATTTGGGAGAGTGTGATTTTTTTTTTTTTTTTCTGTCACTGGAGATTTTCAAGAGGTCTGGATGACCCCCATGATAGGGAAATGACAGGTGTAGGGCAGGTGCCTGTGACTCTGAGGCTCCATAATCATAAATACAGCACACCTGCTTAGCCATGTTGGGGCTCAGAAACCAACACCCCAAAATATGGCGCACTGACATGCTGCACTAAAGCAGCAGCTTTCAGGTCTCCCTGACCTCTCCCCGCACCCAATCCTTTCTTTTCCAAAGCACAGGATGAAGCTGTTCTTTGAAGTTCCTTTATCTGCCTGAAGTCCAGACCCACCAAAGAAGAAAACAATTACCTTGGGCCCCTTCCCTGAAATTTCATTAGCCAGAGAAGATTAAAACTCATATCACAAAGAAAGAGACTGAAAATTAAACACTGCACCTAGGGCCCAGACAACTTCAAACGTGTCCCAAACCATTGTTTGTTCTCTGGTCCCACTCAGCTTCCAAAGAGAATCATTCACAAGATAATGTCTGCCTTCCAGATCCATTCATTTCCCCGAAAAATCATTTCCTCCTACATCCCGATCCATCTCCCCTTCCCCTAGAAGGCGGTATGTAAGCATCAACCACTTGGCCCTTTCTCTGAGATTCCAGATTTTCTTATACAGCTCCCGTGCTTACGCCTTTTCTTCTATTAATCTGTCTTTTGTCAGTTGGTTTTCAGCAAACCTTCAGAGGGTGAAGGGGAAATCTTCCCACGGCCCCTACAGCTATAAGGAAGTGTGACGGCATTAAAGGTTTCAGTGCAGTGCTTGGGACTGCACCTCAAGTTACCAACTCAAGGTTTTATAATGAGTCGCAGTTATAAGTGAAATGGAGAGAAAGAGGGTGAGAAAGTTAGTTAAATAGTTTAATCAGAGCAGTTGTACAATTCTAAAATGAACAAGCAGACTTGTCATAAAAGAGCAAAAATGTTTGCAAAATGACCTTGCTTCCGTTCTGAATCTTTTAATTGTAAAGATTAACATTACATTTAAAAGGACTCAAAATGGAAAAACTGAAGTGATTTGTATCATCATCCGTGTTCTGTGATGCAACTGATGAGATCCCTGAATGGATATTGCTTCAGCTTTGATATTTAAAAAAAATGGCCTGACAAGAAGTCCTTAGTCAACAACTGATCACAGGTGGCCGAAAGAAAGAGAAAAACCCAAAACTACTGTCAAGTTCATAACGTATCACATTGTTGGTGGATGACACTGGCTCCAAATATACGATTAAGCCCACGACACTTTATTACTATGAATATAATTATCATGAAAGTTCTCTCACGTGGATCAACTTGCTTCGGAAGGTTTTCTTTGTTCGTTTAAACTTGCATAATCAACATGCAATGAATTATTTCTTTTGCGAGTGTATTTTTTGCAGTCTTTTTGTTTTCATACAAAGATTTCATAAAGTTGCAACACTGCATCAGAGCATTATTAAAATAAGAGCAGGAGCACTTGGGGAGGGTAGATGTGAATTTAGCTAAATAAGAGCCTCCTTCCATCCTGAGACACTGCACCCGTCTTTGTAAAAAGTTGTGAACAAACTGCTTTTGTTACCCTCCCCCACCAAAGGAAAAAAAAAAAAAGAAAACCTCACAAAATCAATCTAAGAGAAAAAAAAAGGTGGACGTAAAGAAAATAAAGATGTTGGTCATGCACGTATCTTCTGCATAGCTGAACCCGCATATAGTAAGGCACTATTTCCCTTGCGACCCTGTCCACGGCAATCTGTTAAGTGCTGCAGTGGCTGTGACCCTCGACGGTTCCTTTCAGGATGGGGAAATAAGGGAGCCGGGTGAGTGTGGCTGGCACGCTTGTCTGTGAAGGTCCCGCAGCTCAAGGAGACTTCCCAGAGTCTCCCAAGAAAATCTGTCTTGTGAGTTATGATAGAGTGTCCAGAATGGTTTTCTTTGCAGAGTTCCTATTTTTGTCTGTGTCTGAATTTAGATTATTCTTCAGTCTTTATTCTCAAGGAAAATACATGAGGTGGGGGGAAAACACAGTCAGGTCTTCAGAAACAGTTTCGATGCTCCCAGGAAGCACATGACGCTGCCCACTCACGAATTCAGGAAGATGTTTCCAGGAGAGCAGAGAGACTGTGGCGGGGAGGGCTTGGTTTTAGGGGTGATCGGGGTCTGAGTTTAGTTTAGCTGGTCTTCATACTGTTTCCGGAAACAATCCCCTGCTGGGAAAAATTCCCAGCACCTCTCTTGATACATCTTCCACACATATGACTCCTGAAAAAGTTAAAGAAAAAAAAAATTAACATTTTTCCCTAAATCTGTCTGCAAACACAATATCAGAGAAAGAAACTCAAAAATTTACATCGTGTAATTGGAGAAGTCCAAATTTGTTTATATTAGCTCCTAACTAAGTATACCACATCTTATTTACTTCTAGTAGAAAACAAATAATCGATCTTCATCCTGACCATAATATGATAATGGTAAAAATGTATTTTTGGTATGTGTTTTTGAGGGTTCTCTTAAAATATTATCATCAGGAGAGTACTTCAAAAAATTGATGGAAAAATAAAATTAAAAGGCAATACAAATCTATCCACGAACTTTCTGAAGTACACTTTTGTTATTATTAATTGTGTCCTTCATCAAATTCAAACTACTGATTTGTGGTGAAGACTTGTGGAGGGGGAATTTCAGATGGCTTAAAAACCTTAGGCATTTAGTATGCAGTCATTTTTAACTGACCATAATACTGTGGGTATATTTTCATTTTTAATCATTTGCTATCTGATTTAAGCAGTTAAGGACATTATAACTAAGAACACTCAATTTTCTCAGAATAGAGAATTGAAAACCTAAGCCCAGCATTTTTAGTTAATAAAAGCTTATTTTTTATGTGAAATTAGAATTTTACTTTTCAATAAAGGCAATCTCTTCCACACCCATCTAATACAACAGGAATTTTATATTAAGACTCCACAACTCACATCTGAAAGTAATTCCACCCCTTACAGCTCAACACACGTGTTTTGTTGCAATGTGTAGGGCTTCTCTTTCTATCCTTTCTTTCAGAAGATAGGATACAGTCACCATTTACCTACCTGTCCTGTGTGTTCTGTCTCATCTTTGTTTATGAGATACATCAGAAAAAACCTACAGATACAAACAAACTGATCAGAAATGGATTGTATGAAAATATCAGTACAAACATATAGGACATTTTAAAACAAATGATTAATTTACTTTTTAATTGACAAGTATTGATTGTACATATTTATGGGGTATAGAGTTATATTTCAGTTCATGCATACAATGCGTGGTGATCACACCAGGGTAATTAGCATATGCATCATCAGCAAAATTTATCATTTCTTTGTGATCAGAGCATTTGAGCTCCTCTGTTCTGGCCATTTGAGAACATACAATAAATTATTGTTAATTATAGACGCCTGGCACCATTACAGACCACTAGAACTTACTTTTCCCGTCTAGCTGTAACTTTGTGCCCATTAATCAACCTCTCCGTGTCCCCCCCTCACCCCTCTAGTAGCTACAATTCTACTCTCTACTTGTAAAAGCTCAACTTTTTTTTTTTAACTCCCACATATGAGTGAGAATATGTGATATACATCTTTCCGTGCCTGACTTATTTCACTTAACATAATATCTTTCAGGCTCATCCATGTTGCTGCAAATGACAGGGTTTCATTCTTTTTCATGGCTTAGTAGTATTCCATTGTGTATATACACCCCATTTTCTTTATCCAATTACCTGTCAATGGACATCTAGGTTGATCCCGTATCTTGGCTATCGTGAATAGTGCTGCACTAAACACAGGGGAGCAGATATTTCCTTGGTATGCTAAATTCTTTTCCTTTTGATAAATATCCAGCAGTGGGACTGCTGCATCATATGGTAGTTGTTTGTGCACATATTTTTATATATTATATGTTGCATTCAATTATTGTAGGCGCAGACAAAACACCACAAATACATTTTTTTCGGAAATTAATTGCAGTGTACCAGAAAGAGGAAAAGATGTTTTTTGACTTGACTTTTCTGATCTGATGCATGGTTTTACCCTAGCAGCACTTTGGTTTCAGGTTAGAAGTATACACATTTTTGTTAGTATCAACTCAACATAAATTGAAGACTAGCCTAATGAGAAGTTCTAATTTACTGATCAAGTTCAATAGAGTATAGTTAAACCATTTTCCCCGTGTAACGCTACTCTGAATCCCTTCTGTTGTATATTAAAATTGGGTAGAATCTGAGTAAGAATAGCATTTTCCCAAACTATAGTTTTGACTAGACCCAAATAATGGCCAGATTTCTGTGTATTTTTTTTTAAAGCAACTTTTAACTGGGTGCCCACATATGATCTGTAAGTTCTCAGAGAAGAAAAATGGAGATTCACATGTCTCTAGGGAGCAGCCGGATCCCATTCAAATGGGAACCGCGGCCAAGGCTCCCGGAAAGGCTCTGTTCCTCTCTCCCCAGCTTTCCCTTTCATGTTCTAGAAAGTACAGCCTGTAGGCGGAGCTGCGACTTCATTCCTTAAGTCAACCTCCTCCAGAGGGAAAGAGAACCACTAGCTGTATCTGAGCAATTGTGAAGAAAACGAAGCTGCACGCTCTCCTGTTTCCCAAGCTTCCCAAGACAGGAGCTGGCGGCTGGCGGCAGAGGAGGGCGGGTCTGGGACAGGGGCACTCACAGGTAGTTGGCCAAGTTGTGCTCCTGTAAAGTGTGGGTTTCAAAGCCATGTGGCACCGTGTCGAAGTAGTCATTGCCTATCCCACAGATGAAGCATTTGGTCTGGAAGAAAAAGTGGAATATTACAATGTCAGAGGGTTCAGAAAGCAAAAGGAAAGCACCACTTGCCACTCAGGGGCAGCTATTTGGTTTATTCAATATGTGTCAGAGCTGATCACGTGGAGGTTGTGCCAAGTCCAGGGATAGAAATGTAACTGTTGCCGCAACTGTTATCTTGGTGTTTTCTTAAATGACATAGGGACCAGCAGCAAGAAGTAATGGATGTAGAGAGAGTACAGGGTAAAGATGGCTGAGAAACAGTGTCTCTTTCATATTTTCTCCAGCCTGGGTGAAAATTTGTCCAGGCATAGCAGTCGCTCTTGTTCATGACACTGACTCAAGCTATCCAGGCAGGATTAACTGTGTCCTCAACTGAAACTGCAAACATGGTACCTGCCTGAACAAGTCTGACGACCCAGGGGGAAAGGCACAGACCACTGCCCCTCGAAGAGGGCTGAACCGAAGTGCACACTGGGCTGTGATTCAGCAAGGGTCTGCCATGTGCCATGTGCTGTGCTGTCCAGGATGAACCAGTGGACGCTTTCCATTCTAGGCACTGGGTACCTGTCTTTGTCCTCCGCCACCTCCTTCCCTCCAGGCCACCTGTGGAGCAGCACCTGCAGAAGTCAGCCACCTGCAGGCCTGGTCCACAACGCCCAAGGAGAAACAGACCCTCCCTTCCACTGTTAGAATTTCTGGCGCACCGACTCACATGAGTTCAGTCATTACTGGCCTCATGTGACCCACGTGCTCGTCCTTCCCTGCCCACTAGAAGCTGTTTAATGCCATCCGAAGCCTGTTTATCACGCCCTGGATGGTACGGCCTAGAATCAAGGTCATTTCGGTAGCTAACAAAATTCTTCCTGCCTTATTCATCAGAAGCTGGCAGCAGGGTCCACACTCAGCAATGTGGGAGGACAATTGGGTCTCTCTACAGGGCATCGGCTGTGTCTGAACTAAACAGCCGAAGCCATTCCCATTGCATGTCAGCTAACCGTGCCCCCACCCACCTGGCAGCTCACGCCTGAAACCTGGGGGTGCCCTGGCTTGCTCCAGCCCGTTTGTCCCTGCATCTGGTCAATCACCAAGTCCATCTCACTCCAGTTCCCACGTCTGTTTGACTCCACCTGGCTCCTGCTCCTCACCTGGCCCTTCTTCAGCAAAAGCCTCCTGATCTCCTACCTGGAAAATGCCAGTTTCTAGTTTGCTCCCCATATTTAAAATCACAGTTATCTTTGGTTAACTATGCTGAAAACTCATTTCTTGTTTCCCACAGCTCAGATGTTAAACTGTAAATCTCTCAAGTGAGCTGTAAGGCTCTTCATTCTCTGCACTTCCTCTCCAGCCCCACCAAGAGAATTTAATGCTTCCTCTGGAACCACATATGCCCCTATGAAAAAACTTGCATATCAGATTCCCTAAAATCAGAGTCTTGGTGTATAACCTCAGGTGGTGACATTCTCTCGGAATCCTGGAGATGTGTGTGGTGGGGGGAGCGGGGACGGCAGTTGTCCAAACTGTCCTGTTCTCTCCCTCCCACATCCACACCCCCACGATCTTCAGACCTTGGCTTGGGCATCCCTCCTTGCCAGGAAGTTCCCTGATCATTCAGGAGTGAACAAGTGCCAGCCCCAAGACCCTAGCACTCAGGGTGTACTCCCATAAAGGGCTCTGCAGTGGTCTATCATGGGTCAGTGGATTTACAGTCTGAATGGACGATCTCCGCTTTCTCGAGGGCCAGGATGGTGCCACAGCATTGTCTGTGTGCACCTGGAGTCTGCTCCATCCTATGTGTTGCGTGAATGGAAACCACACAGTATCTGTGCCCGTTTCCCACTTTCTCCCACATTCCTGACTCTTTTGAAAAAGGCAGTGATGAGAAAAAGTGCCTGTGACAACGACGGGCTGCACCGCAGCAGACGGGCTTACCTCCATGTCTTCCTTGACTTGCTCCTGCTGGTCTCTTAATTCTCCAAAAGCATCGATAATTAGACCTAGTGTTAAAGGAAGACATAACTGAATCGTTATCAGACAGGAACGAGTGATTCAATTCATAGTCCCCCCTGGCTCATCTTCCAAGGGCAGAGAAAACGTCCAGCTCCCCGGGGAAGTGCTCAGAGCATGGGAAAGCATGAGCGCCCGCCTGATGCTCCTGCCAGGGAGGCCGTGTGCGCTCTTTGAGGACAGAGGTGCACGCAGCTCCCGGGCACACGCTTGTGGAAAGAGCGCTTTAGAATGAAGTGACGGAGCAGGGAGAACCTTCAGTGACACTGGCATATGCAGATGTGTGCTAATACCCACTTCACGCTGCAAATCAGCAATTGATTTACGGCTGGAGAGCACAGAAAGCTCCACTAAGAAGATACTCAAGTCCTAATTTGGAAATAAAACACTACCCTATAAACCGTGAGAAATCTGCCTCAAATCACTTTTCTCCCAAGTTCCTCAGAAATAAAGTTTCCGTCGCTTTCTTAACCGCGGTCATGAGCAGCTAACCCCGGGACTTGCTGGGCACCTCTCCTCCAGGGGTTCATGGCCCGGCCCTCTTATAAAGCACATTATTGTCACACTCGGTAAAGACATAATGAATGGACTATGAGTCTCTTCAACTTGTCCATGTACTTTATTAAAAAATAGGACCATTTTATGTCTGTGGGACTTAAAGGATTATGTCACATTTTTAGATATTTAATTCAAGCCAGGATAAATGTGCTAAGCAGAAAAAGATAGTGAGTGATTTTTCTGCGAGAGAAACACTGCAGTCACCTGCAGTGAGAGGAAGGGCGAGTGGGTCATAGCCCCGGGGTGGTAAGTGAGGGTTCTGGCCCCAGGCCACCCAGCTGTGGACTCCAGCCCGACACTGTGTAGCTGTGCACTTTGGCCACGTTGCTTAGATCTGCTGTGGCTTAGTCACTTCACGTGTGGAAGATGGATAGCAGCACCATTCCCACAGGTTGCTGGAAGGGTGAAGGTAGTGCACACAGGTGCCTGGACACAGCAGACACTCCACAGCGACAGCTCTGTGGTTACTCATGAGCCCCTGAGGATGCATCTGGGACTATACTGGGTGCTTGAAAGTAGGTCATTTTTTTACACATCTCAACAACCACAGAGCTTAGAGACTTGTATAATTTCCATTTTATGGATCCACAAAGGTTAAATGGCTTCCCCATAAAGCTGGGATTCAGGAGCCTGAGCCCCAGGGCTGGGATCCAAACCAAGGCAAGTGCTCTTCCCGTTACATTATTCCAAAGCCAAAAAGAAAAAAAATCACGATATCCATAGTTTCCCTTACTCTACGGTCCCACGCGTCTCTGTAGTGCCCTGTACAGATTTCATGATGAAGAAATACTGAAAGGGAAAGCTCTGTGTGGCTTTTCCAGAAAACACTTGAGGTTCTTACCCTACCCTGAGCATTAGCTTCCACCACATGTGGCTCAAGTTCCAGATTTTCTTGGGCTTCAGTGAAGATAGCGCATACCTTGTATTATGGCCAAGAGGATGACAATGACGAAAAAGAAGAAGGTGATATCGAATATGATCCGGTAGATCTCATATTCATCTCCTGCCGGATCTTCGATTTCGTCGCCGATGCCGCCTCCAGCACGCACCCCAACATACATGTGGAACATGTAACACTGGAAAAGAGAGGAACGGGATCACTTGTTGGAGAGCCACCTGTCTGGCTCCTCATCCTCACCGGGAAATGACGGGCATCTCTGCTTTCCGAATTGCCTCTTTTTGTGCTCATAACTGTGCTGCAGACACTTGGTTCTCACACGCTACTGGCTTCTGACACAGTCTGTACTGCACACCCGGCCTACCACCATCCCTCTCGCTTTGGAGAAAATGCAAATACCTCACTAGTATCTTGGCTCCAAAGTGTCTGGGATAATAATCACATTTTAATCACATTAAGGGGCACAAAACTATACTCAATTGTACTGTACAATTATATTGATCATAACAGACACAGGAAAGGGAAAGTATAAGAAGATGGAATCTTAGAAACTAAGCTGGGAAAAAAAAAAAACAGACAACACTTACTCACCCTCCCCTCCCCTAACATACATGGAAGGCAGCGCTGAAATTCTTTTCTCCTTTAATATCTAGAATAGTGAAGAAAGACAGGGGAGAGACAGGGAGGAAACAGCAGCTCATTGTCTAAGCCCTAAAACATTAAAGCCACCACCACCAAGTGCCACAGCCAGTGTGTGATGCAGGCAGAGGAGGGGTTCAGTGCAGGGTCCCCAGCCTCAGCATTGCTGACACCGTGGGCTGCATAATTCTTCACTGCATGGGGGGCTGTCCTGAGCATCGCAGAATATTTTAGAAGGATCTCTTGATCTCTACCCATTAGATGCTGACAGTGACAATAAAAATGTCTCCAGATGCCAAATGTCCCCTGGGGTTTTGATACTGTTTTTCCCAGATGCCTGGTTAGCCCCAGACCCAGCCAGCGGTGGAGGGACGTGAGGTCTGCGGTGAGCACTACCAACACGCGGCTGTTAGGCTCTCAGCTACCAAATCACCCTTCTGCTCCTAAAAGCGAAAATCCTTTCATCCACCTCCCTTTTCATATAGCCAGCCTAAACCTGATCATAAGGGCTGGAGAGGCAGGGAAGTCATTCTGCCAGACGAAGAGACACGTTTCTTTCAGAGAATCTGAGTAATAAGAAAGGAAGGAGCCTAGTCCTGTAAAAATTGGGAATAGTTGTTAATTCTCCAGATTTTACATTCTGCAGTTTTCCACCCTCATCCATCTCGTAACCCAATCAGTGTTGACATCGCCTTTAGGAAACACTGAGGGCCAGTTTCTGGTGGACTAGCGAAGAGCCTTATGAGACCTTTATCTGGACCCAAAACAGAGAAACAAAGACGTAAATGCAGACAGAGCACACGAGAGAGAGACAGAGCTCGTGTGCTGGGAAGGCAGGGTAAAATAAATGAGAGCAGTTCAGGGAGGTGATTTAGAAAACTGCCTAAGCAGGTTACCTCCCTGGGAGTGCACTCTTTATCTCAATCACACAGAAAGCTTTTTACCAAAACACAAAGGTCTTGATACCTTCCCTGCAGCCTCTGGTTCAGGGGGTCTGGGTGGGCCTCACAGGCCTGTGGATCTATAAAGAGCTGCCCTGGTGAGTCCCCTCCTTTTGTGATGAATGTCTCTATATATGTCAAGTCAGTCTCCCTGGCCCGCTCGCTATAATCATCTTCTCACTCTGGACTTTAGATCATTCTACACTTTCTCCTCCTATGTTCTTGGAGAGGAGGTTCAAATTCTATCAGAATATTGCTGGTTTAATTAGATTCTCAGGCTCAAAAACATCATAATCCGGAAAAAAAAAAAAAAAAAAAATCTGTGTGAATCATCAAAATCTGCACAACTGCAGCTAGAGCGCCACCTGCTGTAAGTTATAAAAAATAGGAGGGTGAACTCCCTGCTTGTGAAAACCTAAAAGGCTCCCTCAGACCCCAGCAAACAACCTGAAACCACCAAGGCTGTGGGAACTCAGGACGAAGCCGATGAAATATGACAGGAGAGGAAAATGTATCTCAAGAGAGAATACTGACTTCCCAATGTGAAAAGGAATTGCTAGAGGGACTGTCACATAAAAGGGATTATCTTCGGAGACCTAAATTAAAGAAATAAAATGTAACCTTTGCTCCATACTTCTTTCTTGCTGGCTGGCTGGTTTTAACAAGCCTCTACTTTGCAGGAGCACTACAGCAAGTGATCTTTTAACTTCTGCTGGCTTTTTAAAGAAGCCGCTTCACAAGTATTAGTAAAAAGCAAATTAAAAGGTGGTATTTAAACCCTAAAACTGTGAGGTTAATCTAGGTAATGTGGCTGGCATATGGGAGTTTTTGAGGACAATCAGCTGGATCTGAATTTGAGCAAAGCTGCAGACTCTTGTCCAGTTTGACTGACTGGCAGCAGCACCTCGTGTTGAACGAGTTCAGAGCTGGATGGTGCCTCGTGTCTTGGAGCTGTTTTCTCTAGCAGGAGGGAAACATCTAAGATAGATGCTTAGCATGCCCTCAACCTCACCCCAGTCAAAGGCAAGACAGTACGTTTATCGTTACGTGCAGAGATATAAAAATCTACAACAGAGCAGGTCCTAAATTGTCTCTCTCACAAGGAGAGAAATCCCTCAAACTGAAGAAAGTCTAGGCTCTAGCCACCTCCAGACTTCAAACACCTAGAGGCTTATGTCCTCATCCTAACATGAGGCAAATGTCTCCATCTTCCGCATTCATGTCCCATATAGTTAGGCAAAACCAACCAGGTGAAGGCAGCTGTCTTCCAAATCGAAATTAACAAAAGCAATGGGAACACACAGAGAGATCTGAAATGTGGTCGTCTAAGGCACGATGATTGTGACTTGAATAAGGTCAAGTACGACTACGTGATGATGGGAGAAAACCAGATGTGGCAGGGTTCTTACTATGCCGTAAGAGGGGATCTCAGCCGCATACCAGGTCCATATCAACCTCATTACACTTTTTGCCTGAGGCTGGTGGATGTTAAGATGCAGGAACAGTGTCTGGTGTTTCTCCTGGGATACAAGTGAATCTCCCATGAGTCACGTGGGTACGTGCGCCTGCTGTTAGTCCCTTTGCGTCTCCCTTGTGCCTTAATGCCTTCCCCAGCCTTCCTTCCCCCTCCTGCCTCCGGCCAGCCCTGACCCCAGTCCTCAGGGTCACGTGGAGAGGCTCTGAGCAGGATGGATATTAAGGTGGCACACGGAAGAGGAAATGAAGGATCACTGAAGATCCTCAGTCCTGGACCTGGAACAGGTAGGGGGAGGCGATGAGGTGGGAGGGAGCAGGAAAGTGTCGCAGGTTAGTGACAATGGTGGAGAGTTACTACTAGTGACCAGTCTCTTATTGTGTTGAATCCAGTTTTTGTACAGTCAATAGAAGTGAGAAAAAAAAATCCTTATAAATGTTTTCTGCTGTGCAAGAAAAGCCACAAAAGGATGGGAGATGGTTAGAAGAAGGGGGCAGGTGAGCCAAATCAGGGGGTGATGGAAAGGCAGACAGGGAAGGGGCTCCAGACAGGGCACGCGGCTTACTTGCCCAGCAATGACCCCAGAAGGAGAGTATTAAAGAGTAAGTCTTCCGTCTCAGTCATGCCAACTTATGATGACACAGAATGAATCTGAAGTATTGTTTAAAACATTGTGATCTACATCCGTATCAACATCTTCCATTCTCTAGTATGATGTTTCATCAAAAAGATACTTTTATTTCCCTGACCACTAGCCTTTTGTAGTAACTTTTCAGTTGTACTATTTGAACAATATTTAATCAATTATTTTTGTGAAGTTCAGCATCATTAAGCATTTTGTATACAATAGGAATGCTGATCAGGTAACTCTGCAACTTTTCCCAAAACTTCTGGAATTTCAGGAGCCTTCTTTTCCTGGAAGATCTTCTCAGAAAAAGAGTGAACTTAGTGGAATTTGTAGGAAGGTGCTTAACATGCAAGTTCCTTGAGGGCAGGACTGTGCCTATGAATAGGTTCAAGCCTTATCCTCTAGGAGTGCCTGGCACAAAAACATGACTAAATTAATAGCATAAGCATTAATGAAATTAACATCTGTGAGGTAGAAGAGTATAGAGTAGCAGTTAAAGAGTATGACCTCTTCCAAACTGTGAGACCTTTAACAAGTCACTTAAACTCCAGTAGCTCCGTTTTTTCATTTGTAAAATGAGGATGATAACAGTACCTACCTACAGCATGAAGTTCTTAGGAGATTAAATGAGTTAATAATTGTAAAGTGCTTGGGTCAATACCTGGCACAATATCATTTATGGTAAGTGCTATAGAAGTACTTGATAAACAAATGGATAATCTAATTGCAAGACTTTGAATCTGTAACTGGGATGGTATTTTCTTCTGTTTGGGGAATTAGGTTTATGAAAGAATGACCATGAACATCGCAGTCCTTTTAGCTGTAACACTCTGTGTTCCCCAAGTGGGTGACTAGCACATGGAAATCACAAAGTCACACGCAAAACATCTTCAGAATGGTAATAATGACAGACAATATTTGAAAACTATAAATGATGAATAACAGAATTTGTTCTGCTGTTAACTATGCATGGACCTATGAATTAGAAGACTTTTTTTTTTTTCTTTTTCCTGCATTCCTTCTCTAAAGCATCCCTTTTGGTCTTCAAAAATCTGATCTTGACTTAGGAAAAGAGTTGGGTATTAGATTTCATGCCAACTGGCTGTTACGTAGCCCCAATCTTTGAATAACCTGCAATTCATTTGAGAGTTATTCTTTGCTGTATTTGAGATTTGTTTTCTTCTTTAAAAAAAATTGGGAAGAGAACAGAAATGCCTAATCACGGAAACCTAGAGAATGGCAACCTTTCTGGAAGGTCTCTAAATGGTGATTAGAAGATAGAATCTGTGTTTAAAAAGAGAGGAAGAATTGGCAATTCTATGTTAATCATTATTTATGATGAAGAAATTATTTTTAAACATTGCAAAACTTTTTACATACATAAGAAAAAATTGGGTTGTCAATGGCTCAAGTATGGCTGGGCGGGGGGTCAGAATGATGGAGCTGGGCTCACCTCAGCCTCTGGGCTGCTAATTCCTCCTGCTCAGCTAATTCCTCCTGCTCAGCTACTCCGTCCCCTGCCCCCGGCCAGGACATAGTCCCTCTATATGGTTATACTAATTCTGAGAACTGAATTAAGCTCTCTTTCACAACATGGTGGGGAAAAACTATTCTAGGCTTTTAAAAATAAAAGAAACAGTACACATATGGTTTTTTTTAAAAAATAACAATTCAGACAGGAGAAAAGTATATAAAATGAACAGCATATGTCTTTCTCTTTCCCCTGATCTGTGGTCCTACACTCTGTAAGAATCCTTGTTAAAAGTTTCCTATGTACAAGTCTCTCCAAAACAATGTTACGCATATTCTAGCATATCTAAAATATGCATTCCTGTGTGTATATAATTTTACAATTAGGAGCCTACCATAATACTGTTCAGGATATTGCTCTTTTTTTCCCCACTTAAATGTAGCTTTAATGTCTTTCCATATCAGTATATACAGATTTACCTAATATTTAAATGGCTGCATACTTTTTATAGATTTATGATAACTGACTCAATCCAGGCTCTATTGATGATCGTTTAGATTTTATTATTTCCAATTTGCGAGAGCAGCTATTGTCCTTGAACACACACAGGCCTATTTGTGACTAAGCCTTTAAGTAAATTACTAGCAGTGGAACTGACAGGTCAAAGGATATGTATACCTAAAAATTTGACAGATACTACAAACTTTCTCTAAAATTGTTATGTTGATTCAAATTCCCAACAAGAGTCACGAAAGTGCTGGTTTTCCCATCAGTCCACCAACTCCGGTATTAACAAACTTTAATACTTTGCAAGTCTGATAGGTAAAAAGTATTTTTTCAAGTTTTTATTTGAATTTCTTTCATTATGATAGAGGCTAAACATCTTTTCATATTTACAAACCCACTGATTTTATTTTCCTGTATAATTGCACATTTTTCTACTGGCTTGTTTATTTCTTATTGATAGGATAAGGACTTTGTAAACTATGGAAACTGGCTCTTTGTTATGGTGTTCAACGTATTTTTCCCAGTTTATCATTTGTCTTCAAGTCTTCAGTTATAGTTGTTCTTTTTCATAAACAATTTTATGCTTTCATGGATCTTAGGTTTTATGCCATACTCAGAAAGACCTTTCCCCATTTAAAAATTATTATTTTAAGGAGTCAAACAAAGTATGTCCTAATTGCTATTTTTTATTTTTTAGATTGAAATATTTGCTCCACTGAAAATTCATTTTGATTTAAAGAGCAAGGTTGGGGGCCGACCCCGTGGTGCGCTCGGGAGAGTGCGGCGCTGGGAGCGCAGCGACGCTCCCGCCGCAGGTTCGGATCCTATATAGGAATGGCCGGTGCACTCACTGGCTGAGTGCGGTGTGGACGATACCAAGCCAAGGGTTGCGATCCCCTTACCGGTCACGAAAAAGACAAAAAAAAATAATAAAATAAAAAAAAATAAAGAGCAAGGTTGGTATTCATTTTTATCATTTTCCTCCAAACAGCTTGTTCATGGTACCAATCCCATTTACTGAATTATTTTTCTTTTTTGTTTTTTTTCCTTTTTGTCTTTTTTCGTGCCCGGCAACGGATCGCAACCCTCAGTGTCGTGCCCGTACCGGACCGGGACCGGCTATGGGATCGCAACCCTCGGTGTTGCCCCCGCACCTCGCGCAGCCAGTGAGCGGCCGGTCTGTATGTGGGATCCGAACCCTGAATTATTTTTCATTTCATGATTTCAAAAGCCATGTTTCTCATATTTTAATTTCCATGAGTATTTGCATCAGTTTCTAGACTCTCTTCTGCTCCACTGATTTGTCGTTCTGTAATACAAAACCGTTTTAATTATGTCTTCATAATATTGGTAGTTCTCTCTCATTGCTCTTTTGGAGTGTTTATTTTTTTCTACAGTAATCTTAGTATCATTATGTCAGCCTCTTTGCTTATACCCCCAATCCCAATTATGTTGGCGTTTCGATGAGGAGCACATATTTTGCATAATTTTCCCCTTCCTAATCTAAGGTCTCGTGTATGGTAATTTCCCATTTGTCAATATCAGAAAGGCAAGTTGCAGAACAGTGATATAAAGCAATATGAAAGCTTTAACATCTATTGACTTTGAAAACCAAAACCAAAAATAAAATTTGGGCCAAGATACTCAGTATAAAAGCAAAAACTGGGCCGGCCCGGTGGCGCACTGGGTAAGTGTGCCGCTTGGGAAGCGCGGCGGCGCTCCCGCCCGAGGGTTCGGATCCCACATACAGACCGGTTCCCACTCACTGGCTGAGCGAGGCGCAGGAGCAACACCGAGGGTTGCGATCCCGATGCCGGTCCCCGGTCCGGTGCGGGGGCAACACTGAGGATTGCGATCCGTTGCCGGACACGGAAAAAGACAAAAGACAAAAAATAAAAATAAAAAAATAAAAAAATAAAAACAAAAACTAGCACTTTTATTAAGAGAGGTATTTTTGGATTTTAGTAACTTCAGTTAAAGTCATTAAGGCAAACAGAAAACGGAAGCTTTGAAATGTTGCACAGGAAATCGTTTCACCTGCTGTCCTAGGACGTATGAACAGCAGGCTAAAGTGACGGCCCTGCTCCCTCCTGGTTCTAACGACCTCACTCAGCTGTTCTATCAGGCTGCGCAGCAGATGTGGGAGAAGTCAGCAGAAATGGTCCTTTATGTTCCACTAAAAACGAAAATTGTGGATTCTTTAAAGAGCCATTCAACTTTGAATTGTGTACACTATTTTCTATTCTGCACCGTTAAAGAACAAATACACATTTATTTAGATTAGATTAAAGAAGCAGGAAAACATTTTCATTCATATGAGATCAAAGTTTATGAACTTACCGTTAGCATATCATCACATTTCATATCTGGTGTATCACCATCTTCACTTTTATTATAGAATTTTCGGAAAAAATTGAATGCCACCACGGTATACAGGTATACGACAACAGCTAATAAGCCCACGGTTAATACAAGCTGGAAAGCAATGTGACATTGAACAAGTATTAGAAATTCAGGACATGTGACTGGCACAGTAGACAGCTATGGGTGTGTGCAGGGGGTGCTCTGGTGAGAACACAGCTGCATTTACTGCTTAGAGGCTAATGGGATCCACAACCTCATTATTTCTCACCTTTCTCAGACCCCCAGCAGAGAAATTTATTTTTGTATTCTCTTTATCTTATGAAGTTGTCAGACTATTTTACACAAAACTTCACTAATACTTAATTGGCTAATAAATGCATAGTATATCTAGAGAATGAATAAGTGATGATTTAGTTTCACATCCAAATTGAATTAATAATAAGTACCTTAAAATGTTCATTTTTCTATCGTCTAAATATTTAGTAGGAGATACTATATGAAATACCTTCTCCCTTTTCATGAAGTCTATTTTCTGTAAATAATTTACATTCCTAATAAAACTCATCTCATTTTTGTTTTGATAGTAAGATGGTTTGTAAATTACTTTTTCTTTTCAATCACAATCTACAACTAAATAGGAATTTATATTGTTTCTGAAATCTGGGAACACAAAACTGGAAAAAAATATGTAATATAAATATTTTTAAAAAATAAAACTGAGAAGTCTAGCTTTGTAAACATAAAACAATAATTAAACTGAAAAACACAATAGCTAATGACCAATACTATTTCAAGGCTAGTTTTACTAATATATAATTAAATGTCACAGTTTGAAAGGCTTTCTTTTAAGTCTATGTAATCTTTCCTTGTATGTCTGTGTGTGTGTGTGTGTGTGTGTGTGTGTATATATTTGATAGAATATATATATATATTTGATAGAATATATATATATGTGTTTAAAAATGTGACTTTCACCAAGTTGGTGAAAACATAATTCTGCTTATATTACAGAAATTCTAAACATACTAAAATGCATTATCTTTATGCATATTTTTTTCTGATTATAACAATCCCTATGTTCTTGACTATAACTGCATATACTAATCAAGCTCTTATAAAATCACTTTTTTTTTTTTTTTTTTTTTTTTTTTTGTCTTTTGTCTTTTTTTGTTCCGTGTCCGGCAACGGATCGCAACCCTCAGTGTTGCCCCCGTACCGGACCAGGGACCGGCAACGGGATCGCAAACCTCGGTGTTGCTCCCATGCCTCGCTCAGCCAGTGAGCGGGAGCCGGTCTGTACGTTGGATCCGAACCCTCGGGCGGCAGCGCTGCCGCGCCTCCTAAGCGGCGCACTATCCAGTGCGCCACTGGGCCGGCCCCGAAATCACTTTTTAATTATCTGGAGAAAACATATCTTGATAGAGGGCTTAATTCATTTTTATCAATGAAGCATAACACTGTAAATTTTCACGTTTTCCCTGTTAAAACTATTAAGCTCTATATATTTCTTTCTCTTTTTCTTAGCTCTCTATAATTCTGAAAATGAAAATTTGATACCTCAAGAATAGCAGGAATAATCCACACAGAAATTCAGAAATTGGTTGAAAGTAGAGCCACACCTTTTATGTAGAAATACACAATAGATTCAGCATCTCCAGTTCTCTACATATACTGGGAGCTCGAACCGAATTTACTAACTGACTGGTGAATAAGCATAGCGGGCCCACTGGGCCCACAACTTGCCATGAATATCACAATCATATTCAGAACCTAAAGTGACATATGTAAGAATCACGTGCTGAAATTTAGAAAACCCACAATTGTGATAATGTGAATTTAACGGTGGATGACCGAGTTCAAGGTTTTTGGAGGGATGTTGATTTAAAAATGTGCTAATCTGTAAGACTGGAAAAGAAGGACTCTGTTAATCCAAACAACCAACACAGAATGTGTTACCACCCAGGGAACACTTGAAAAACAGTGAAAGAATTGATAAATGCATGCTTCTGCAATGTGTTTCATAAAAATGAAAAGTTTGCACATTACAGTCAGGTTCCATCAGAGCATGAGCTGATTATCTGGACCTAGCCCAGTCTCCCTCCAAGTCTATACGACCTCGTCAAGTAGGAAACACTCTTTTTCTTCAGTTCAAAAGTGGAGAAAAGAGTACATGAACGCCCAGTTTTAAAATATCACGTTAAATGAAAATTTCATTAAATTAATTTAATTTGCAATATTAAATTAAATTCTCATGGTTTATTACTAACACAACTAGTATACTAGGGTGCTGCAACATATCTTGATTGCCCCCCGCATCAAGTGGGGCAAACACCGTGCTAGGAACAAAATTGTAAATGCTTTTCTGAGGGCTTAGTATGTGCGAGAGAGACTGTGCTAAGTCCTCTATGTTTATTTTTATTTAATTTTCATAAAAATTCGGTAAGGTAAGTCCTTTATTATTTCCATTTTGTGAAATAGGGAAGTTGAGATTTAGAAACACTAATTAATTTATCCAACGTCACACAGCTAAATGGCCAAGCTAAGACTTGCACATAGGCTTTGGGGACTCTAAAAGCACGAATCCGCATGGTTTAGAAGAGAAGAGGTTCAGACCCTCCCTTCAAAAGCAATCTTTGAAACTGTACGTTGTCATTTGAGGACTGGTTTTATTGTATTTATTTTATTTATTTTTGTTGCTTTTTTAGTTTCTGCAAGGGGGAAGAAAGATAAACTTTTACCTGTTTGCCATTGTGGGTTACTGATGACAAGATGGTTCTTAATGTCTTGAATCCCATAGCAATGTCAAGAAGATGAGCGGCAAAAAAAAAGTTGTTATAGTGTCCAAGAATGGACATAGTCATGTACCAGGCCAGGTAGAGGAAGGACTATTAAGACAGAAAAGGGAAAAGCATATCAGAAGATAGCACACAGGACTCTCATCAAAAGCTCCTCTGATCTCTATCATAATCACTCCATTTATTTCACCTTCTTGGACCTTAAGCTTGTGTATTTCTCATTAGCTGTATCAGTTTGTTCTTTCTGTATTCTATTTCTATTTAGTTTGTTCTGAAAGGTGCAATGTTGTTCTCCCCTTTAAAACAGAATAACTTTTTTATTTATCCTCCCACAGGGAAAACTTCATTGACTGACTACTTGACAGCAGGGTTTCTCAGCCTCAGCACTACTGATGTCTTGGACCAGATAATTCTTTGCTGTGGCTGTCCCTGCACATTGCAGGATAGTCAGCAGCATCCACTAGATGCCAATAACACATGTTGCCCTCCCCAGTTGTAATAACAAAACTGTCTCCAGACATTGCCAAATGTCACTTGGGGGACAAAATTGTCTCTGGTTGACAAACCCTGCTCTACAGTCAACTAACGGATCAACCAACTTTCCCTCCCCTTTTTCTTCCCTTTGTTTTTTGTTTATTCACTCACTAAATCTGTGTTTGTTACGAGATTATATGATGTGTTTTATTAGGTGACGTGTTTTATTAACCAAGCATATCACTTTACATGAGCCAAAATAAGCCTAGAAAAACCCCAAATACTGTCTGATGTCACTGAAAGCTATAGTAAACCTAATTATAAAATTGGTACTATTTGCAGAAATCTCCTGGATTATAATTAACGTAAGTGATTAACTTCACACAGGCTAGAAAATGAACATACTTTTTTTAGAATGCAGTGAATAAAGCAGAATAAAAATACTGTGATTGCTCTTACTTTTTGGATTACAGCCTCTTCTGCATAAGGCATATCTTGCCAGTTAAGTCAGGAGCTACCCTTTTTGGGGGTGAACACCTTCATTTTGATTATAATAAATCTCAATCTTCAACAGAACAAAAAGAAAAAGGAGGGAGCTGAGGCAGTACCAGACATTTCACGGGCAATGTGGGACTTAAGGCAGAGGTCAGGCGGGAGAAAATTAGCATTGTCAACATAGACACTGAGATAAGAATATGCAGAGTTTGCTTGGGAACGAGAGTTTGGTTTGAGTGGTGGGTTCTTGTTTTGGAAGATCAGCCTTGAAAAGAACTGCGGGGCTGGGGGACCTTGAGGCCAAGGTAAGGGATATAGATTTATCTCATAGGCACGTGGCAGCCACTGGAGCATCACTAGCAGGTGCAGGATAACGGTGTTTGAAAAGTGGCATTTTAGGAAAATTTCTTGAGCACCTACTAAGTGCTGGTCGTTGTCCTATATATTTGCACACACAGTCTCTCACTTTATTCTAGCAATAGGCATATTTAGTTCCAATTTACAAATGAAGGAAGTGAGCTCACTCAGGATAAGCTACTGTCTAAAATATTTGTCAAGTGGCAGAGCCAGTAAATTCAGAGACTAAACAAGCCTCATGGTGAGGTTATGAGAGCCGTGACAAGGAGCAGAACTGGAAAGACAGAAGGGAAAATTACAAAGGGCAGAAATAGGATCAAGATTAGGCAAATAATCAAATGCATGTATTGGAGGAAGAAGGAAAAGGAGGTGTCCTGTCTAATAATTATCATTTTTAGTATCAGTATGTCCCATGCAGTATTGGGGACATATTTGTGCTACAAAGTCATTATTTGGGGGTTATCTGAAATTCAAATTTAACTGGGAATCCTGTATTTCACCTGGTAGCCCTAGCTGTGTTTCAGAGAGAAGCTGCACTACTGAAGACTGAATACATGTTGAGAGATGATTGGCCAAACAGAAGGCGTGGAGCTGCAGGTGGATGAAAGTGTAATAAAGTATCAGAAAGGTGACTGAAGCAGGTTCTTCAGACTTCCCCAGGATCTGTTCATGCCCACATTCTCTGGAGGACGAGAAAACTGCATAGCAAGGAGAATACTACGGACAGTCTGAACCTAGGCAGAAGTGGAAACCGCCCTGAGCAGGCAGAGGCCGAGGTGGACTGGCTACTTGGTGAAAGATACCAACTGGAGTGGAGTCGAGGTTGCCTCCTTTTCACACAGGGGAGTTCCTTCCATTACTAGATGAGAAATTAGTTGCATGATAGCATATTAACAGTTTATGGTTCTAGAAGATACTTATAAGACATGGTTTTGACCTCTTAGGCGGGTTCTCTAAGATAACCAGAGTTCTGGACCCATGGCTGGGTGAGGCAGGGGTGGGGATAGAGACTGGAGAATTTGGGGGATGTCAGAGGCCTTCAGAAAGAATGAAACTAACGTTCACTATAAAAGTCAGTGCTAAAATTAAAGAGTGAAATTTTGAAATCTTCAGACAGCTGGTGTCTTTTAGTAATAAGTAATTTTTTCCATTATATTCGGATACATACTTGGGCCCTATTTTTAGTTTCCAAAGGCTCTTTTATAAAAGAAGGATCCATCAAGGAAAATGACACAATAATTTCATGTACTTAATTTGGGGAAAACTTAAATTTAGCACAATTTATGTTTTTTACACTTTAAAAATGTGTTTAGGAGTTTCTTTTTAACATCTATAACACTTCAGAGTATAACACTGCCCAACTAAAGCCTGAATGAAAGTACACATGAATTTTCGTCTCAGTTTCTTTTTCTTGTGTAAGTACATTTTCACTTTAATCTTTCAGCTACTGAAAGAAATGGAATGAGCGATGGGCTGATTAATCGCATCTTTCTGTGGGTCTTTCTCAGATATGGTCTGTATTAAATGCATTGGTATTTGAATAACTTTCTTAAACAGCCATCCTTTCATCTGCAGAACTTCCACAGACTAGTCTGATCAAGTGTATTTCCCTCTGGGGTAACAAAGCAGGCTTACGTTGTCAGTGAAAACGACTCCTAGTTTCCACATCTGATACTTCACATCAATAGAGTTCAGTCTGGAATGACAAAAAAGAATTTGCATATATGCACATTAGTCAAGGACTCACAGCCTTTTTTTTTTTTTTTGTCCTTTTTGAGACCAGCTGCACCGCGCTCAGCCAGTGAGCATTGTGAGCGCACCAGTCATCCCTATATAGGATCCGAATCCACGGCTGCACTCCCAGCGCCACACTCTCCCAAGTGCGCCACGGGCTCGGCCCAGACTCACAGGCTTTTGAGAGCCTGCTGACATAGTAGGAACCTTCACAGGAGTTCTAGCCAAGTTGTCAAGGGAAGAGTCAAGAGCTCGCTCTGATAGTGTATTCCAGAATTTTGTGATGCTTTTTTAGAGGGATTATGGAAAACAAAAGAAAGACTAGTCCTTTCTTTCCACCTTTCCTTTCCTACATTAAACATAAGCTAAACTCACTTTATGTATGATACTTATTCTTGAAAATTCCTAAATTAACCAACATGTGCACATTTTGTTTATGTTTCCTTTTGTTTCCAGAAACCTCACCTTTTCTATTTCCTTTTCTATTGAGGCAGAAATTTAACCCCTCCCCTTGGTTCCCATAGCATCCTGTAGACTCTTTCCTTTATTATCATCCCCCACGTTGTTTTGTAGTTGTAGGTGTTACTAGATCTGTACGTGTGCACATATGTACGTATCTATACATACATACATATATATATGCCTCTCATTAGTTTGTAAACTCCCCAGAACCAAGCACAATATCTCACACATTGAGCATCTCTCAATAAACATATGTTGAATAAATAAATCTTCGTACAAATATTCATGATCTTTGCAGATTAACAAGCATGTGTATTAAAATACACTGGTTAATTCTCTTTTTTTTTCAGAACTTGACACTGATTTATAGGCTAGAAATTACAATAACTTTGTCAGCATTTCTAGCATTTTAATTTTTGATAATATGATAGGATATGAAATAATGCAATATAATATAATGGTAGTATTATTTTCAAAAGGGCTCTCTAGACTTAATGTTTCAGTCTTTAATTATTTTTATTTAAACTAGTCCAATCCTAAATTGTAAGTGCTAGAATAACTAGTTGACAATGAAAGCTGATTTCTTGGGAGACATTTTCCTTTAAGGGTTAAGTTTTCATTTACCTTAGCATGGGATTTTTTTTCCAAGGAAATAAAATTGTCTTTGAGCTATAATTAATTTTATTATACAGGAGCCTTTTAAAAAGTTCCATGAATATTTACAATAGGTATCAATAAAAAATTTTTTTAAATAAAAAAGGAAGAGTTGGAAAAAATAAACAGTGGAACAATTTGCAAGACAGTATAATTACTTCCCATGAGAGCAATCTAAAACAAACTAAAGGTTTAGATCAGGATGTCTGAATTTCCTATGGTAGTTTCTTACTTTATTTTTTAAAAAATTACTCTTATGATTAATTATTTTCCATCTCTATCATAAGCCAGGGTGACACATTTGCTACCAGTGTCGATAAGCAGCATTTCCTTTCTGCAGCTCACAGTACTCTTTGCATCAATAGTGGTGGCTGGGCGGTTTGGGCACGGCTGACCCCGCCCCTAGGAGGGGTCACGGCAGATCTAGGCCAGTCAGGGCACAGCCTTCTTCAGGCCCCAGGGCTTGGATCCAGGGCAAACTACAAGCAGGAAGCTGAGAGTTCTGCTAGATGGTTTTGAGTATGAACTTCCCCTGCTCCCCTACAAAGGCAGAAATGGAGAAGCAGGCAGCCTTTCTGGATGCTGGAAGCCACTGCAACCCCAGGAAGGGAGGTAGCCACTTATTTAAATGTGCTCATACCAAGCCTTCTGTGTTTGATTGACAAATAAATACACGAATCATCCTTGTATTTGGATGTTCACATTAAGATTACATTCATGTAGAAATCAGGTAATCTTTTACAGCATGACCTTTCCAAATGCTTCAGTAAAGATATTATATGTAACTGTTTTTCCTAGTAATGTATAGTTATTAGATTTCTATTCTACTAATTTTATTATCTGTATTTGAAGGTGTAAATAAGTGCCACATCGATTTCATGGTACTTTGCTAGAGGTCAAACTGCAAACATTTACTCTGTACAACTAAAACAATGGAAAATTTCACCAATTTAAAAACTAGTTGTTCACAGTAAAAAAAACAGTCTAAAATTTTCCTTCTATTTCTTCAGACTTTTTTTCTAGAGTCACAAACATGACCATGGAAAATGCATAATCCCAGGCTGGCCCGGTGGCGCACTGCTACAGTGCGCCGCTTGGGAGCGCGGTAGCGCTCCCGCCGAGGGTTCGGATCCCACATACAGACCAGCCGCTCACTGGCTGAGTGCGGTCCGGGAGCAACACCGAGGGTTGCGATCCCATTGCCGGTCCCGGTCCGGTACGGGCACAACACTGAGGGTTGCAATCCGTTGCCTGTCACGAAAAAAGACAAAAGGGGGAAAAAAAAAGGAAAAAAAAGAAAAGAAAAAAAAAAAAGAAAAAGAAAATGCATAATCCCTTAAACTGTTTAACCACACATTGCTTATCAAGGATGTGACAACGTTGTGGGAAGTTCAGCCTCACTCACGCCGTGGTCCTCGTTTTACATGGTATTCTAACATAGGGCCTTAGTTCTCACATACAGTGACAGAGCCTGTGAATGCCACATTTGTTTTCCTAAAGTACCGAAGGGATACTTTGGATCTAAGGTCACAATCTCTGTCATATGTTTACCTAACTACTTTTCAACTGAGTTCACATTATTTTCAAAGACCCAAGTAGCTCTAGCAAGTTTTCAGATAGATAAAGAGCATATGACCAACAGGAGAGGTCAGCAAAAATATCTTTTTAATGCTAGCTAATATATTTATCTAAAACAAAATAATGCTGCTCTACAGCACCACAGATATCTATGTTTTCAAAGTAGTCACCATATCCCTAAATGACTAGGACCGTAATCACACAGATAAGGCTGACATGTTTTTAAGGGAATGTAAGTATCATTTTTCTTCCAAAATCATTAAGTGGCTACAATAATAAATTATATTTTAAAAAGCACATATGCTTTTCTTTTATTCCAGAAATTCAGATGGTAAGATTTGCTAAATAGATATGTATGTATATATGTATGTATACATACACTCACATTATACACACACGTGTGTGAGAGACGTAATCTCAGGTGAATTCAACTGGTTTGCATCCTTCTAGTTATAACCTATTATCCCATGAAAGAACTATATAAAGAGTGCTTCATTTTCAAGTAAACTTTCCAAGCAATAGTATGAAAGTATAGTATTTCTGGCACCCTAAATCTTTGCTATTAAAAAAATACAATAATTATATAAAATAATATGAACTTTGGACACTTTAAATAAAAGGGCTACACAGTTCTCTTTTCCAAAGCATAAGAAAATTAACTCCTTTTCAAATAGGAAGCATCACAAAAAATCATCATATATTGCCCTTTTGCAGATGTTTTACTTTGACTTAAGGGGCATTTTGGGATACAAAAGACAAATTAAATCAAGAACATGAATATCCTTTTCTCTTGTCCTATGTAAATAACAAAAAAAGGCACTTTCGAAAATTAATAGAAAAAAAATCGATCATCCCATAGCTGCAAACACCAGAGGTGTAAACGTAGACACACACGCATCCTCTGTTTTCCTCATGTGTCTGTTCCTCTGACACTGAGGGAAAGGAAATCAAGGTACCAGCAAGTTCAGAAGCGTATTTTTTCTCCTTTCAACTTAAACCTGCAGGAGGCAGCAGCCGCAACACTCACACAGCCGATAAGGAGCTATCTTTCTTTGGCTTCTTCTTTTCTCTCGCGTCGCTGAAGTCCAGAGCTGCTTTATCCATGCCAAGTAACTCGCTGATCCTGTCTCGGCCATAGAACTCTCCATACTTATCCATAACCTGGGGGTCAGTGAAAAAGCGTTTGGTTGGCTTCAACCATTACGTGACACCGTCTATATGTGCGTATACAAACACCTGATTATTTTTAAACTTACTATAGACTTGCCGTATTTTAAAGATCACTTAAAAATCTAATTTAGGGCTCATCTTTCATCATCACTCTGTTTTAGGTTTAAACAACTTTATAGCCTTTTAAGTAACATCTATCTGAGGAACAAGATTTCTCATTCCACAGAGGGAAGCACAAAAAGAGGAAGACGATGAAGGAAAAGGGTGAGAAGTGGGAGGAAATGGAATGAAAATGACCTTGACCAAATTCATACTCTGGGCTACAAATTAGGCTTTATTCCGCGTGACAGTCACAATATGAAAGTTCCATATTATTGGCATCCCATGCTGCAGCTAAAGAAACTGTGCCCAGGGTTGCTCAGCTTAGCAAGAGATGAGGTCAGGAAGCATCCAAGCCCTGCGGGCCTCCCCAGCCAATGACCTTCTGCATGGACCCTGCATACCACTGGGCTGGACATCACAGGAAGGGCATCCCCTGTGAGTCTCAGTCCAACCTTCAGCTCTTTCCCATCTTAGCACCTCACTCTCCTTAGGATCCCAATTCCAGCAATTCTTCAGTAACCCCCGGGCCTGCAGCCTTATCATCATCCATCCCCGTCCTCACGTCCTCATTTTAATTCTCTTCTAAGTGTAGATGTTGTGTCCATCATCACCATTGTCTCATTACAGTCCCCCACCCCACTTCCTCGCCCACTTCCCCTTCTGTCACATTTGCCTGGCTCTGCCCATGTGCCGCATCTTTACATCTGCGCTTGGACATGGTTCACGGCTTCCTTCGAGCTCAGTCCATGCTATGTAGGACATAGCTCTTCTCAGCCCAAAGTTCATAGGCCACGAGAGCCCCACACCAAAGCGAACATGGAGGTAACAGGAAAAGTGATGAAAGAGAAGCAGGAGGAAAGATCACTGGAAGCAGGAGTCAAGGCACCCAGGAAACAGAAGAGAAATGAGAAAGGGGAAAAAGGAGGAGACAGAATGTGAAAGGAAAAGATTAGAGTGGGTGAAGACAGACACAAATGGGAAGAAGGAAGGGATCAGCAGAAATAAAAGTGGACTTTTTTTGAACGTATACAATCAGTAAATGAAAAGCAAACCTCAATGAGCACTGGTAGTTAAAAAGCCTATGAACATATATAGGCTAATTAAAACCATTTGTTCTGCATTATTCTCACAGTGCTAAAAATGAGCTGGACTGATCTGAGTGGTAGTTCTCTCTGACTGTGTTCTCACCACCCTTCCCCGGAAAACAAACTGGATACTACCGTAGGAATGCCAGGAAGGGGCCTAGCTGCTATTACAGTTTATTTATTTGACTATCAATATATAGCTTCCTTCAAAGAAACTCTTGCTTTAATAATGCAGAAGCTTCCTCTTCATTCCATAAAATAACTAATAGAAATAAAATGGTCAAATTATCTATTTAAAATTTTTTAAAAATTGTCCTTGCAAAGCATCTGCCTAATTTGGATGTGCTCATACTCAAAAGGCCAGGTTACAAGACCAAAAACTTGTACCAAAAAATAATCAACAAACACACTGCACCTTTCAACTAGAAAGTGTTTTTTTATATACGTATTTATATGTTATATATATAAAATATTTATTTATATATTTTAAATATATAAATATAGAGATATAGATATATAAAATCAGTATGCTTAATGATGTAGTTGATTTAAATTCTCGGTGCAAGCTCTGCTCAGCCTGGTAAAAACAATTTTCTGTGCCAGTCGCCAACCACTGTTTGAGTTGTACTGAACTGGTGGGTCCAAAGGGGAAAAGACCCCTTCATTTGGCAGGTACCTCTGGCCATTTGCTCTGGATGGCATATACATTGGAGCTGGAATTCATTGCGAACTAGTGTGTGAATTGAATCAGCCTGGCAATGAAAGCAGTTCAAGGAATAAATAAGGAGCTACAAAATAATGATTATAGCATTTTACAATATAAAGCATTGTTACATGTTCTATTTCATTCAAGAAAAATGGGATCTGCACTATTACCCTGTGAAGTAGGCAGGGCAGAAATGTTCCCTGCCCCTCGGATCAGAAGTCCGTAAATTCAGAGCTTTAGGAGGTGCCACAGTCGATGGCTGGACTGCAGCCGGTGTTCTTTCTACCACCCTCTGATGCAGTCAGCATCAGAAGAATAAAACTTAAAAAAAAAAATTTTTTTTAAATCTTTAAAGTTACATAAAGTAAATAAAATTCAGTCCTTTGTTGTCATCCAACAACTTTACCTCTGCAGAGTGATGGAGGACACCAGCCCTAGTGACTTACCAGCTGTCTTATTAGAAAACAGCCTGCAGCTAACTTAGGTTACCCAAACAATTTCAAAGAAAATTCTAACCAACTCTTGTTAATCCTATGATCTAAGCACTGTTTATGCGGCTGAATCAGAGAACAGGGTGGATGAAGCAATGTCTATTTATTTTGGAGCTGAGGAATATGGATTTATAATGTGCTATTCTTGAAATTCATATTTAATTCTACTGCCTTTTCGAAATGACATTAGCAGGCAGATAAAGCGCACATCAATGTCTCATTCTACATCTAAACCACATCAAATTCAAATCTGAATTGCACTTTAGGAAACAAATATAGAATTTATTCCGTCTGAGAAGGATTACCTTTCTTTTAACAAATTTGTCCCAGTAGTTGTTGGGAAATGACCTAAAAGATATAAAAGCATAGAAGTAAAATAGTATTATTTGTTTAAATGATAAATAATAACATATCATTTGTGATATACAAAATACTTAAAATAATATGTAAATATAAATCCTGCTATCCTCATAAAATACAATGAATTTGGTTACCATCTTATCCCTTAATTTTTTTACATCATAGGTACATTGAATATTATTTTAAATAGTAATATATAAATATATATACATGTAAATCACACAAAAAGATTATAAGCTGATACTTTAATGAAGAATAAGAGCATATTTATTAATAAGTAGTATTGTTATATTTGTCATTTGTTAATCAATATGTCTATGTAGATTTGTCAATTGTCTTTAAAAATTAAAGTATGTCGGGCCGGCCCGTGGCTCACTCGGTAGAGTGCGGTGCTGATAACACCAAGGCCCCGGGTTCGGATCCCATATAGGGATGGCCGGTTCGCTCACTGGCTGAGCGTGGTGCTGACAACACCAAGTCAAGGGTTAAGATCCCCTTACCGGTCATCTTAAAAAAAAAAAAAAAAAAAAAATTAAAGTATGTAAAAACTGCCATTGTTTTTCCTATGAAGTAAAAAAATTTCATTCTCACCAGTTATACTCAAAGAAACTTTGAGCCTGGTACCAAATCATGACTCTGGAACCTTGATTAATATAGGGTTTACTTAAAAGGACTGATTTGATTAGATTTAGTGCTAATTGGTAGAATTGCTAAACAAAACATTGAGCATTTAGAGTAAACATATACAATGCATAAATAAATCATCCCCATTTGAAAACCCAGAACTTATTAGAAATTATCACTTTTTAAAAATAAGCAAGGTCTGGCCAGTTAGCTCAGCTGGTTAGAGCGTGGTACTGTAACACCAAGGTCAAGGGTTCGAATCCCTACCCCGGCCAGCCACAAAAAAAAAAAAAAAAAAAAAAGAAAATATTTCACTCTTGGATAGTTATAAACTACTCTCACTAACACATTTTATGGCAGAAAATTATACTTTTGTGATAAATTTATATCTGTAACAACAGCTAGTACTTAGGATCTTAATCTCATAAGGCTAAACAATTATTGAATAGAAGAAGTTTTTGTATTTCTCTGTCATATATTTGACATAATGACATAACATTTAGCTAGTGTCATGCTAGGCTGTTTGATGGTACCAACTGAAAGTTTATAATGCAGATACATTAAAAGTGTGAAATCCAATATTTTTTTTTAATGCTACAACTCTTTCCAGACTGAATAATTTTTGCTTTCTCTGCTTTTCATGAGATAACCCCGCACTGCAGGTCATGTGCCTCCGGCTACACACTTCCCTGAACACTGAGTAACAGGTGAGAAGTTCCATCAGTGCTGTGGAAATGGACTCAAAGCCATGTTTGATTAAGGAATTCAGGACACAGAGGGCAGAAACGGACGGTGTCCATTAGCTAAGGGGGTGAGGGTGCTTAGTCTTTTTGTTCTCTTGACTGAGTGTATAACTATTATTCACCTCTGCTCAACTTCTGACACATGTGCAGGGACTCCAGCAAAGTATTTTTATGTCGTGACGTTTCTGAGCACAGCAATGTCTCATACGGTTCTTTACTCACTGTGTGTTGATTACGAGTCTGTCCCACTGGCCTTTGATGTCGTCTTCTGAAGGCTGTTCTGTAATATAAAGCCCATCGAACTCCAGCTTTCGTGCCACTTCCTTTTCTCGCTTAAAGATAACCAACGGGACCTACAGATGAGAAACGAACATGTTAAAATTTGTTTAGATTTACTGGCCTCGCCTCCTGTGGTCACTATCTTTACAAAACAGCTTCTAGAGAGAAATATTTCCCAGATACTTCCAGGAAGGTAAACATTGAGTGACAACGAATCAGCTATATTCAGGCAGAAAGAAGCATCCAGGAGATTTTTTTAAAAAACAGAAGACAGAAAAGTATACATATGCATATGTTTTTAAACACAGGGGTTCATAGATAATTGCACTAATGAAGTCATTTTTAAATACTAAAGAGAAAAAGATGATTACGCAAAATTGTTTTTCTTTTACATAAATATGAAGGTGCTTCAAAAAGTTCATGGAAAGATTCATATTATCTTTCAATTCTATTTTTCCATGAACTTTTTGAAGTGTCCTTGTATATCTCAACATGAATAGATGTAATAAAATTTATCAATCTTGCCAGTGTTCGAAAATGCATGCTACTAAAAATGCAGAGTTTTATTTGAGAAATCTCTTTAATAATTCCATGCTCAGCATGTCCACATGCTCTTTTGAGATAAGTTTTAATTTCAACATCAGCAAAAATTGTCAGGTTGCCAAAATGTCTCCAGAACACATTGATTCTCTTTTCATGTGGACCGACTTTATACAGGCACAGATGGAAGAAAGATGCAGACATTTTATAAGTATCCCAGAATATTCACCACCATAAAACAAGGGAATAGAAAGGAGGGAAGGAGTTTCTGAAGAAAACTTTCATTTTACCCTGGACCCTGGTTTTTCCACTGTCTTCTGGAAGTTTGACAACCAGAAGCAGAGGACAGTGAAATAACGGCAAAACAGTGAAAGGCATCTAGCCAGGAAAAGACAGAGGTTTGCACAGGTAATAAACAGCCCTGAGCAGTCGGAGAGACTATTTTGAGTTTTGTTCACCAAACTGCACTGTTTCCCTTGGCAGGGCTCGAGGGATAAAGCCGTGTTATTTTCTGGTGAAGTGGGACACACTGGGAAGCATTTCTGCTGATGCTTGCTAACAGAACAATCACAATGACTCCTATGTTTGATACACGCATTTCTGTTAGTCCTAATACACTGGAGCATCTCTGTGAGACAGAGGGGGTGGTGAGCTCACTTCTGAGGGGTGAAGTTACAGGTGAAATTGACCATTAAGTGAATAATTATCAATATGTGAAAGAAAGCTCCAATGGGACAGCCAAAGCCGAATCCCTTCCCAGGGCAGCCTGCAGCCAGTGACAGTCAATGTAAATACACAAAGGTCAGGCTCCAGACCCCAGGCCAGGACACCTTGAAGGGGCATCCTAGCATCATCCCCTCGGCCCCTTCCTGCTTCCTCCGCTTGCCCCCCGGGTGTGGGTTCATGGAACACTTCAAGGTGAACTTTGTGCCTGTAACTCGCACCTCAGAATCTGCTTCCCCACAAGACCCGCCTGCAACACACACACACCCGCAGACGCACATGGGTACCTGTGCCTTACTGTCTTACTTTCAAGCAGTAGTATCCGATGATGCAGAAGAAAGAAATGACCGTGTGTAGAATAGCTAAGATACGCAACGTGGGCTCCATGTAGCCGCTGCTCTCCTCCAGGACGTAGTGAACTGCGATGATCCTGTGTGAGCCGCCGTCCAGGCTGCTAACTTTGGCGTTTTCACTTGAACTTCGAGTGGAGAGCTCCTTTCCTTCAGCCACAGAGGAAGTGGAGACCTGATCCAAACCATTTAAAGGTTAGTCAGTTTGCTGCATGTAAGATATCGTTGCAAACAGAAAACAGTAGAAACAGAGCAAATAGCTGGATGTGAGGTTATCGCATAACGAAAGGACTACATGCAAGGCTGAAAAGATAGCTTTTCAAAAACCAAAGGTGGGTAATGAACACACTTTTTAATTCATTCTGATCTAACCAAGAGTTATGAGAACTCCAACACATGCAGGAAAAAATTTGATGGCTAAGCAGTCTTCTCAATTATCAAAAGATTTTAACGTAATACAGGTATTCCACCCCCAGATACAGTAACAAGTAAGATATTAAGCCAAATTAGGCTCAAAAGATTGTGGGTAAACCCTCTGCCAAGTCAAATGCTCTTCACTTGAGGAATTTCTAAGTTCCGAGGAACAAATCTCTCCTGCCTTCCCGGATTGTAGTGATGTACCTGGCTTCAGGTTTTCTTTCATTAAAATTTATTTCATAATAGGCTTAAACGTGTTCCCTAACGGATCTGTGAAATGTTTACATTCATTTCAGTCTATCTGTAGTTTCATATTGGTTATTAAGACACAGAGACATACGTACCTTATAAAAAAGCAAGATGAAATTGATTGCAAATGCGACAAACAAGGCTAACATTCTCATGTTGTAAAAGTTGCGAGCAAAATAGTTCTGAAGGTGAGAAAAATTATAAAAAGGTCACTGAATCAAGAGACTTGAAATTTGCAGGCAACTTAAATAAAGCATTTATTCATCTATTCCAAACTACTGATTGTGAGCCAACTATGTATCAAGCACCACTCTTGGTGCTGTAGACGTAACAGTGAAGGAGAAAATTCCTGCCACCACGGGGGAGACAAAGAATAAAGAAGCAGACCCACAAATTGAAAACACAGTTTCAGGGAATGCAAAATGCTATTAAGAAACATGCATCAGGTTAAGAGCTTTGGGAATGTGGGGGCTATTTTAGATGGTGGTGGTCAGGGAAGGTTTATCTCAGGATGGGACATTTGAGCAGCAGGCTAGGGGAACAAGTGGGGGAAGAGTATGTCAGGAGGAGGAACAACACAGACAGAGCCCTGAGCTCAGAGTGATGTTGGTCTGCTGGAGGGACAGTAAGAAGAAAGCACGGTGAGAAGGAGGGAGCCTGGGGGGATAAGAGCAGGGCTTCTGAGAAAAGTGTGCATTTTACAGTGCAGTGGTTCAGTTTGTGACCTCGGGGGCTGCACTGCCTAGACACAAAACCTATCCCCCACCACTTACTACTCGCGGACGCGGACACAGGACTTAATCCTTCCTGCAGCACCACTGTCTTAACTGTAAAGTGGGGATAACAGCACAATCAACCTCATAAGTTTGCTTCGAGAATTAAATAAATTAATATAGGGAAAGTTAGTTATTAATCTTATATTATATATATTATATGTAATATAGTATAATATAATTGTATGCAATGTAATATTATATTAGAATTATTAGTTACTCCAGGTGGGATGGAAGTTATTGGAGGATTTGAGGAGGATTTGGAAAGATTACTCTAGATGCTGTGTGGAAAACAGTAGGGGTGGGCCGGCCCGGTGGCGCACGGGATAAGTGCGCCGCTTGGGAAGCGCGGCGGTGCTCCCGCCCGAGGGTTCGGATCCCACATACAGACCGGTTCCCGCTCACTGGCTGAGGGAGGCGCGGGAGCAACA